GGGCACAGAAAGGCCCAGCCCACTGTGTGCAGCACTAAGCCTAGGCAAGTGGCCTTGGGCTATATAAAAAAGGGAGCTGAACGTGAGCCTGGGAGCAAGCCAGTAATGAATGTTCCTCCCTGGTTTCTGCTCTATTTCCAACCTCCGTATTCCTGCCCTAACTTCCCTCAATGATGAACTAAGACATGGAAGTGCAAGTCAAACAAACCTTTTCCTCCCACAAGTTGCTTTTGGTTATTGTATTTATCACAACAAACTAGAATAGTTAGGGTATCTATGGTCAGGGTTACATACATTCTTGGGATCCTCATCTGTTTTAACATAATTTTAATTGATTCTTTGGGAATTTCACACCATGCCCTCTAATCCTGCACATCCCAGTCCCTCCATATCTGCTACTCACTACCCCGAAGTATCCCCCGAAGAAAATTTTAAAAATATTAATTAAAAGCAAAGTCAAACTTACAAACAAATAAAAAGCACTTCATTTCTCCACCTTTCCCACCTCTTCAACATCTCTCCATTCATTTTTTTTTATTATTATTGTTTTTTATTTTCCATTTTAAATTTAGATAAGAAACAAGGTTGCTTCACAAGTCAGTTCGAGGTCCCTCTCCCTTTCCCTCCCCTCCTCCCGTGCCCTCCCCCCATCCCCCCCCCCCCGTTATCCCCTCATTCCCCCAGGGTGAGGCCCTCCATGGGGGTGTCCATAGTCTGTCATTTCATATAGGGCAGGGCCTAGACCCTTCCCCAAGAGTTCAGGGTGAGAGTGCACCTCACATTGTTCTATGGGAGTCCAGAATCCGTGTGTATGCTTGGGATGGGTACTGATCTGCTGTCCAAGGCTCAATAGATTACCTAGGCCTCCTCACTGACACCCAGATTCAGGGGGTCTTGATCAGTCCCATGCTGGATTCCCAGGCTGATGCCTGGGATTCAAGAGTTAACCTTTGTCTGGTCAGCTGATCTCCATTCATTTTAGTGGCATGGGAAGCTGTGATGTGTCACACAGTACATCCTTTTGTCCACTCAGCTTTACTTGCAAATGTTCATTGCAATGAGTTCTTCTGCTGGTTCAAGGCTTTTGGCTTCTGGTACAGCATCAACACTGGGCCCTCACAGAAACTTGTCTCAGATCCTGCGGTTGTCCTGAGTCATGGAGATCCTGCGATTATGGTTCCACAGGACCAGTCCCTTCATTTACTCTGGCAGGTCGTAGATAGGGAAGATGTTGGGGTGGGCCAACTCAAAGCCCTGGATGTGGGTCTTGGTGGTAGCTGATCTGGTCACTCCTGGGCACTGGGACTGCACTCATCAGGTGAGGGGTGGAGCCAGCTCTTCTAAGCCCAGCACTCTCATGCCTGTGGTGAGGGGTGGGGCCACTCCCTCCTGAAAACTTACTCTGTAGTTTGCAAGACTGCTTATGCTTCCAACAACAGAGATATAGATCAAACGGTAATAGCTACTGGTGGGAAAGTTGGGAGACAGAAGGGGAAAGAAGCAAGGAACAAACTGGTAATTACTGTAAGCATTCCTCGAAACTTAAAGAAGTAAAAACTGACTGTATTTCTTAAAAAACTGATTGCAAATCACTGAAACTGTATAAATAAAAACAGTCCAGGCTATCTGTGACCACTTGTTTGAACAACAGGTGGTCCCAGTTCCTTCATGGCACTAACTTCACACATCCATTCCTGGTCATGAACCCATTTGGAGGAAGGCTCCCAACAGGGCAGGGCCACAGAGCCAAGGAAGAGCAGGGCCAGCTCAGCATGACCCTCAGATTTCAACAGGCACAGTTTCCATGGTTCCCTGTGGTAACATAGGGCCATACCACCCTGATACCCAGTCTCTCTGATCCCAGAAGCTAAACAGGGTTGGGCCTGGTTAGTACTTGGATGGGGGTACGGGTCCTTATCTTAATGAAACATTCTAGTGATGCTAGTACATGTTGGTCAAAGCTGGTTTTCCTCTCTGGTTATTAGTATCTCATCTGATAAACTAATGAATATGAAAATCCTTTAAGAGAGTCACCACACTGATGTGGATATCTGTGGAGGCAAGAATAAGGATTCATGGGCTTATGTTCAAATATTAAATATAATTTATTTCTGGGAGAATTCACTTACACAAGAAGCAGATGGCTGCCACAGGTTCCCGCTCTAAGGATCCGCATGGGCTGCTCCGACCTGACACAAGAGAGAGCCACCTGCCCGGACTCCAGACTTAAACTCACTCCCCATCATCACCTGCGACCACACCCAAACTGGCGTAGTCAGTGCTACAGATATCTAATAAACTGAAATATTTTCCTGAAGGAACTGACCCCTGGGATTCAATCATTATTACAAGTGGAAAGTGGGTGGAGATCTCTCTTTTTATACTGAATGATTCATTACTCACCTTAATTTTGACAATATCACTTAGTAGTAGATATCAAGTTTTGTTTGTTTCTTGCAATACTCACAACCAAACCTGAAACCTTACACATGCTAGGCAGATACACTACCACAAATCGATACCCCTCAGCTCAGCATCAGATATTTAAATGCAAGTATGCCTTTCAATACAGGCCTATAGATAAAAGACAGTGGAAATAGGACTCTATCAATGACTGGATATTCACTAGGATATCCTAATTATTTCTAGCTAATTGTCTAGTTGCCTAGCCCTATAGAATGTTGACACTTTCTTTGAATACTAGTGAATGATGTTATAATCAATTCCATTTTAGTCATTATTCAGTCTTCCATATTGATTCATGGATTCTTCCACTTTAGTGTTTGGTATCTGTCCTTCTGAAAATCCATATGGTTTTCAAATCTGGCAAAAGTGTCATCTTATAGAAAGGAACTTGGAATTTTAATTTCCCATGGTTTAAGAAACTCATTTGACATAGAGTATCATTTCAAAGAAATGACTTCACTGTTATCTTAGCAATTTCTGTAACTGGAGCATGACCAACGAACTATTTTTACAGGTATAAACCTATAATGTGAGAGCAAGCACAGTCTGAAGAATTTTGAACTCACTTTAAGAGAAAAATCTACAAAGGAGTCAGATACTTAAGATTTTGTGGTCAAATGTTGCAAAAATACTGAACTACAATTGCTAATCTACTTCACTGACACTGGTGGCAAACACTGAAATTCCACCCATTAAGTTCTCTTGGGCACTTAAGACATTCACCTGGTAATGAGACAATGAGTCCCTATTAGGGGCAGGCATTCTTTTCACAATATCTTTGTGACTGCTTGAGAAGTGGGCTCTCTGAAGCAACTGAATTCGACTTTTAGGGACAAGTGAGGCTATGTAAGTAAAGGTAACTCGTGGGTAAGGTTGTGCCTATGAAGGACAGCTCATTAGCTCAACTGAAATAGATTTGTTTTGGACAGCAGCAGGAAAGAAAATAGTAAAAAGTTATAATCATCTCAGAATCTGAAGAGATGATGAAACTCAAGCTCTGATCATTTTATTCTGTACTATTTATTTTCAAATACAACTTTCTCTAGTCTGCAACTGATGTTTAATATATGTTTTAGTAATGAAACTGAGTTCCTATTATCGACAGGCATAGTAACTATAGTATAGTAGTTAGAAATAGGGTTTAGAGTTAGTGTTCTTAATAAGCAAGCATTTGCTGCATGGTCAGCCTTAGGTAAGTTTACTTAACCTTTATTTCTTTTCTATAAATATGTGCAATAATATACTCAAGATGAATGAAGAAAATAAGGTACAAATAATGTGTGGATTTCTTGCAAATGGGAACTAAGGAACATAAAACGAGAGACAATTCATGGAAGTTTTATTTTCATTGCATCAAATTAAATAAGACATTAAGGTGGTTACAATTTGCCTGAAGGGTCTCCTTTAAGTCAAGCAAAAGCAATGAGGATGAAGGGGAGGAGGTTGGCCCCAGCTTTTGCTGTCAAGAAGCAAAATGCCAAACTGGCACTGGATCCTCCGTCTGAGAAAAGGCCAGTGAACTTTGGCACTGGATCCTCTGTCTGAGAAAAGGCCAGTGAACTTTGGCACTGGATCCTCTGTCTGAGAAAAGGCCAGTGAACCTTGGCACTAGATCCTCTGTCTGAGAAAAGGCCAGTGAACCTTGGCACTGGATCCTCTGTCTGAGAAAAGGCCAGTGAACCTTGGCACTGGATCCTCTGTCTGAGAAAAGGCCGGTGAACCTTGGCACTGGATCCTCTGTCTGAGAAAAGGCCAGTGAACCTTGGCACTGGATCCTCTGTCTGAGAAAAGGCCAGTGAACTTTGGCACTGGATCCTCTGTCTGAGAAAAGGCCAGTGAACTTTGGCACTGGATCCTCTGTCTGAGAAAAGGCCAGTGAACTTTGGCACTGGATCCTCTGTCTGAGAAAAGGCCAGTGAACTTTGGCACTGGATCCTCTGTCTGAGAAAAGGCCAGTGAACTTTGGCACTGGATAGTAGTACATCCAGCCCCAAAGGGACCTCACCTGATTAGTCAAATACCAGGTTCACTATTCCATCCTCTTGTGATTAACCAGTTCACTGAGGACTTGTTTAAGCTTGCCTACAAGAGGAGGCCAGAGACAAAGCAGGAGAAAAGCAGAGACTGTTGTCATGGGCTGAGGGAAAAAGCTTCTTACAAAAGGGGTCCCCTCATGAAGAAACCTCCTGCCCTTTAAGCATGAGTCCCTAATGTCACTATCTTGGTGGAGTTCCATGAGCTTGTGGTTTTCCTTGTATCACAAAATGAGGGTAACCTGCTGAAGGCTGGGCTGGGATGGCTGGTTCACAGGAAGACATGCATCACTGCTGCCTCCGTGTAGGTTAATTTAGAAGACAAAGGTGCCCTGGCTAAGCTGGAAGAAGTTATCATTACAAATGATAAGGACAGATAAGATGAGATTCATTGTCACTGGGAGCCAACATCCAGGATCTCAAAACTGTGGCTCACAATGCTAAATGGAAAAACAAAAAAGTCAATGAACTTGCCACCAAAATGGGGCTAAATGTACATACCTGAGTTTTCTGTACACAAATACATTAAGAACTGTCCTTCAAAAACTGCCTGAAGCATATTAACTTCAAAAATGTTGAGGTTGTTTCCGTCCATTTCGTGTCGTAATGACAAAATATTCAAGGCTGGGTACTCTGTCAAAATATTTATTTGGTTTGTAATTCTGGTGATTGGAAAGTCCAAACTGCACTGTACCTCCATCAAACTAAATCATTACATTTCAGAGAGGTAGAAAATGAATCTGCCATGTGGAAAAGGGGTACTATGTACAAACAAGAAAGCAAGAGAATAGGAAAGGCCAGGCATGCCCTTCTATAAAACTGTAGTCATGTGGAAATCAATCTATTCCTGCAAGACCCAAGCACTCAAAGAGATCAGCACTGATCCATTTGCCAGATAGGGAGCTCTCCTGACCTAAATGCCCTTCACCAGGACCCAGCTCTTAAAGACTTCATCACGTCAACAGTGCCATATTTGGTACCAAGTTTCTAGCATAAGAACCTTTGAGGGAGTGAATCACAGGAACCATTGAGAGAATAAAACAGCAGCAGAAATCATCAGTAACCTTCAAGAAATTAGCTTTACAGGGAGACAAGCAGTTTGCTGAGAAGGGACAATACAGTTGGGATGAGAAAGGAATTAAAGAAGAGGTAGAGTGAGTCACTGGAGCTGGTTTGTTTTCAGCGTCCCTTCCTTTACACTGAAGGACAAAGAGTCAGCTTTGACCTATAGCTATGGTCAAGAGGTAGAACAGATAGACATGTGTGTTTCAGAATTGAAGCGCCTTACAAGAACATCAAACCTCAGCTTCCCTCTTTACCATGTTACTTTAGTAAATGGAGACAACAGAAGAGAGAAGTTGCTATTCACAAACCATCTTCCCTCTTCCTTTTGTCTGGCACTACACAATGAAGAAATAATATTATGTAGCAATCCATCCATTTGCAATATCACAGTATTGCCAGATGAACAATTATAAGAAACTCTTTCTATAGCAAAACCTCATTAATTTAGACTACACCAATTTGGAATTTGTGGTCATTTAACCAGGTTGGTGTTACCTTTGTGCTACTTAACAAAGAAAGGGCTCACTAAGCAAATAGTGTGAACAGGATTTCAGGAAAGTTAATTTAGCCTTCTAGGAGCCTATTCCACTTATTTTAAAGAACACACTGTTTTTAAGGAACTTCAGAATATTCAGTATTTGAATGCAAATTGATTCTGCTAATTATAGATTAGTGTAATCTACTGTTAAAATCCTTTATCTGCAACAGTTAACTTGGCTCACATTGAATATGCTCATTAGAAATGAAATGTCAATTCTTTAAAGCTGGTTCACAATTCAAATTAATACACACCCCCTTTTCCCCACAACCACGAGTTAACCACAGCTAGAAAGATACTGCCTGAAACTAGTCCATCACTTATGACTACAGTGCAAAAATGAGCAAGTGACCAAAAAGCCTCAGCAAGCCAAAAGCGATGTTTTAAAGTTGATGTTATAAATCATGAGTACACTCTTCATAACAGGTTCTACTGACAGCTGATTTTGCCCTTATTTAACATACACATGAGAAATGAACCCAGAAAGCTGGGTAGGATTTTTTAAGGAACTTTTTGTTTGCTAGTTTCAAAGTTCAATAACTAATTGGAAAGAGAAAAGAATTGCTAAAGAACATGTAGGGGAGGTGGGGGAGGGGATGGAAGAGGAGAAGAAGGGAAATTTTGGTCTAGATGTAAAATAAATACATTAATTAAAAAAAAGAACACTGAGAGGAATAAGTGGCTACATACTACAGAAAAGAAACAGGCCTTGTAGAAATTGTAGCTGTAATAACTAGAAAACCAACAGAACCGAGGACAAGTTAGTATAGAGGTAAAGTTGTATAATCTTCCCTAGTAAACTTTGAAAACTGTAAGAGATATTAAAGTGCAGTAAAAAAGCAATGATGCCTCTAAATGATCAAAGTGAAGCTATTTTGAACATGGTTTTAAAAGGCAAATAAGGTCACAAGCACACATTCACCCACACCCACACCCACACACATAAAGGGAGGTATACTTTGTATCTATAATAGATAACCTTGAAAAGTGAAATGTATTGATGCTTAAAAAGATGAGGATCATGTCATATAATAAGAAAAGAAGAGCAATTCATTAAGTGTAGATATTATGTTAAATATCACCTACATCATTTCAACTACAATGACTAACAAGCCCTTGTAGAAGACTTTCGCTTCATTTCTGCTTCACTTGAAGAAAATGGAAACTCAGAGAGGCTAACAAACTCACTCTAAGCTGAGAAAGAATGAAGGAGACACACACGTGCACACACACATAGAGAGAGACAGACACAGAGACAGACAGACAGACAGACAGAGATATCTCCAGGGTGAGAATTCATGGCAACTCCTAGTCTATCCACCTTACATTTCCAAACTCTACAAAAAATAATTCTGTCCTATATTGAGGGTTCCATACAGGTAATATTTATACTGTTCTGTTATTTTTCAAACACATATTTAGCAAATATCTTGCCTATGATCTAAGAGACAGAAAATGATACTGTGTTCATAAGCATACTTGGTTTTGCAAGCTGAAAGTGAAAGTAATAGTCAAAACAAAAACCAAACAAACCTAGGAACATGTCTATTATACCCATGCTAGTATCTCAGGTTGTTGTATGACCTAAGTGATGGAATCTGAATAACAAAGGATCAGTTAATATTTGGTTTTCTTGTTGTTTTCTCATTGTGTTTAGAGAAATTTAAGATGAGAATATGCCAACAAGATTGGAGTAATGAGGAAAGGATTTCAGGGAATGCTAACAATGCATTGTGCTGTTTTAGGGGAGTCGAGAGAATCTGTTTCTCAGGTATTCTAAGTAATGCTAAGGGCATAAAAACTGTAAGGTCTGCTATGATGGTGAAAGTTCTGATCATATAACTCAGTCATCAAAGCAGAAAGATAGAATTTTGAGGTCATATTGGGCTACATGGTGAAATACTATCTCAAAGAACAGTAGACATGTGGACATGATGTACATTGCAAAGGTATTGGGAGTTGAAGATTGAAATATATACAATGATCTGATTTAGAAATAAAGTGAGGGTACCCTGTTCCATGTTTGTAAAAAGACAAGTGGGTAGTGAAACAGTCACTCATACAATGTCTTTTCTATAAAAATCAGAATTCTTCATTTACTCTTCCTGCTTCAAATCTACCTGTTCTTCAAGGAGCGGCTAAAAATATCACTTGTGCTATGAAGTGTTCCATACTCTCTAAAGGTGAATCAAAATAGCCCTGGTTTCTGCTTCCTCCCTTGCACACGTTCACCACAGGACTCGTGATAATATCAGTTATTCATATATGTGATCCCTCCATCAGATGAAAAGGGCAAGGGCCTCTGACTTGTTTCTGCAGTCCAGACACTACCTAGCATAGAGCCCATAACCTACCAAGCTATGGGGAAAATTTATCTCAACAGCACTGAATTAAGACAGTGCATTATCACCTAGCTTACCTGAAGGAGTATTTGTTCTCTTTCTTTTCTTGCTTGATTCCCCTCCATTCTCAATGAGGCCATCTGCGACCAGAGGGCCACTGGCACTACCAAATTGCAGGGGTTCGTTGTTGTTGGCAGGGTCAAAGGGCAGCTGGTTCAATCCTAAAGAAGAAAAAGAAAGCCAAAGTCCAGACTCCATTAAGGACTGGGATCATCCCCAGACTTTATTATATGAGATGCTATTGGGGAAAAAAGCAAACAAAAACCTGCATGTCTTAACAGACTTGATGTAAAAAGATAAATCATTGAAGGCAGTTGCCCTCTGTAGTTTTTGCAGATTAATTGACAAGTTCAGAATTAAAATATATGACAGTAACTCTGTCGTTTGTAGGAATCCTCCCACTTTTGTTTTGAATTTCTACCCTTAAAATGACAGAACTGACTGGATGTAGTGGTTTGTGCCTATAGACCCAGCTATTCAAGAGGCTGAAGCAAGGGGATCATATAACTATAGAAGTTTGACGCCAAGTTATACTACATAGTAAGACTTCATCTCAAACAAGCTGGGACTCTTTTTTTTAGATGTTTCTGTAGCAGGGCCTACTTTTCTTTGAAAAAGGTTAGCTTTGAATTTTTGAATTATCCCATAACACTTGTCTATTATTTTGTGATGAAGTTTGTTGAACTACTGAAGATACAAGCATTAGACACGTCCGGTGTCAGTCATCTCTAGTGATACAGACAAAGGTCTCTAAGAACAAAAACTGTAAGCTCAGGGAAAATGAGAAAAGAAAAGAAAGATATGGACATTGTGGGCAGTTATTTACTTGTCAGAATAATGAGGGCTTTATAGGCCAGGTTTGCTGGCATTTCTCTCATCATGCTCAAACGCTGCTGGAAGCATGGATACTTAACTACTCATTGCTGCACCACACAGAATGTCAAAATGTACTTTCCATTCTCTAAGTCTTAGATATGAGTCAAAATTTTTGACACTAGGAAGGGATACCATCATTTGTGAAATGTAGTTATAGAAATGATCACAAAAAATCCTTAATGCTTTAAGTAAATTGACAGTTCTGTACTGTGCTACATTCATAGCTAGTGTCTCACAAGCAGCAGGTTAGACACACCTAAAGAGGGGAAGTAAAGTTAAGTTCTCACTCTGGCAGCACAAGGGATTTCAAGTGTTTCAATCAAAATGTTGTGAAATATGGAAAGGAAAACTTTGTTAAAGCCCAAAGTAAACATATTTCTTCCAAGTCTTTTTTTCTATATATTTTATTTTCCAGTTTAAATTTAGATAAGAAACGAGGTTGCTTCACAAGTCAGTTCCAGGTCCTTCTCCCATTCCCTCCCCTCCTCCCGTGCCCTTCCCCCAACCCCCCCCGTTATCCCCTCATTCCCCCAGGGAGGGTGAGGCCCTCCATGGGGGTGTCCATAGTCTGTCATTTCATATAGGGCAGGGCCTAGACCCTTCCCCAAGAGTTCAGGGTGAGAGTGCACCTCACATTGTTCTATGGGAGTCCAAAGTCCGTGTGTATACTTGGGATGGGTACTGATCTGCTGCCCAAGGCTCAATAGATTCTCTAGGCCTCCTCACTGACACCCAGATTCCAAGTCTTTTATACACTATTTTCTATCTATCAGGTTGGTCTGATGTGCTTCATTTTTTAACCTCTAATTTTTCTAAAAACCACAACTGTACAATTTTCAAGACAATGTTATAAAATATCAATAAAAGGATTGGAAGACAATCAGGTCAATGTTAGTCAAATCTCAGTAACATGAACGCAGAGCAAAATGCTTCCACGGTATTGTTTATAAAAAATATCGGTTTGCTAATGTTTTCAGATCATATAAAAGCTAATTTTCCCCTAGCAACTAGACTCCACAGGGAACACCTCCATTAAGTGTCCTTTGGTACTTGTCAAATATTCTTCATTTACAACATGTAAGTAACTACATGAAATAATCAAACTTGCTTCTTTTCTTTAAGTCAACTGTTCACTTACATCCTACCTATATCCTAGTAATCACATATTATGAGTAGAACTAAAAACAAACAAACAAAGTAGACACAGTGGTGTGGGTCTGTAATCACTCCAAAGATATTCTGTACAGTTCCAAAACTTTCTCAGCGTTTCCTTCTGCATTATTATTCTGATCAGATCAAATTCCAAGGAAAACAGAATGCTTGTATAAGGGAAAAAGTACAACAGATCAAGAATGCAAATCGTTGGTTTCCTTTACTAGTTAGATTAGATTGGCGAACCACATCATCTCTCTTATCCCTAGTCACATAATATGTGGAATGAGTGATAACACTGTACAGGGTTGTTGCAGAGATTAAAAATTTGATGTTTGTGGCTATTATTTTATTGTAAGTGAATTAAAACAAGATTTTCTTTATAAACTTGTAAGTTCTTTTGAAGGAGACTCTGCACCCCAAAACTGTATCCCTTTATACATTAATACATAGTGAATGTTGAATGAATTAATTTACCCTCAGTAAGTGGGGGCAGGTAGCTCATTAGCTCATTTTAATAGGCCATGTTATTAAAGTCTTGGCAGATGATAACCAAAAATTAATGCCACAACTGAAAAGTGCTAATGCTGATTGCAGCGATATTATATAAAATAATTAGATTTTAAATGCATCTCAATCATTTGAACAATATACTACAGAATGAGTAAATTAGTGATTAAAAGAAATTCTCAGAAATTAGCATGCTCTAATTGATGGCTGTTAGTCATAAGAGTTTTTTGCATTTTGTCTTGCACTTGATAATTTTAAGAATGATAATTTTAAGAATGATGTGTTAGTAAATTTCCCTAATTTTAAGAATGATGTTTATGAAGTAGATGACCAAGGTGCTTCCAGAACTTCTGAGCCATAATCTGTAAATTGAAGATAGTAAGAAGAGCACCTAACTCCTGGGACTGATATACATATAAAACCAGATTGTGTGTGTGAGACATTCAGTATCACATCTGGAGCATAGTTAACGCTCAGTAAACATATACTGATCATTCCAATATATTCAAATCAAATGTATTAAAAACACCTTAAACTGTCTGATTTATGGCACTGCTTTCCCACTTCTTGCTTCTGCCCTGGTCAGTACACCTTCTGTTTCCTCCTGGAGTGAGCAGGTGAGATGTCAAGGGAGTGGCTTCAATGCTGGGGCTGAATGGACATGGTAAGCTCACTAAATATTGATTACAACTACTATAATATTGATTGAAAATTGTTAATCTCTTATACTGAGGAAGTGTAAAGGGAAGAAGTTGATCTGAACTTGACCTACTACAAAAAGTCTACCTTCCTCATTCAACTTTTTTATTGCTGTCTTTTCATTTTTGTAAATATTGAAGTAGTCCAGCAAATAAAAAATCTGATGAGTTGAGGGTCTTTGCTCATAGGCATTTGGTCAAAATTGTATTTGTTCTATTTGGCTCCAGATAATAACTTTAGCAATTCCGATATTTTATGCCTCATACTAATGTACAGATCTTTTGACACTGAATAAGACAGAGATTTCAAGAGTTTTCTGTGAATTGACCTCTTTAAGATCAAGATACGTGAAAATTTAGTCCAACACCTCAGGTCTTATTTGTAATAGGGAAAGATCTCATGTCAAAGACAGAGAGATCTCAGTAAGCCAATTCATTGAACACAAATCCACATTTTATATTATACAGGATCCAATACAGTCTTCAAAGATTTGTAGCTTGAGAGCAAGAGTTACAAGCTAGGGAAAACCTATAACACTAGTGTTTCCTAGTCATTTGTACCGTATGGTTTCATTCTTCCCTGAAGACAGAGTCAAATAAACCAGTAAATCAATAAATTAATAGGTATCTATGGGAGTTTTTAATGTGCTTCGTACATGTGATTTGTGTCAAAGGATATTTTAAGTAAAAAGGCACCACCAAAATTACTTGAAAATTAAAAGAAAATCTGTTACTTTAATGCCAAGACTTCTTGGTAAGTTTCAATGATGACAAAAAAAAATATTAGCCATGACAATATTGCAACTCTCACTGAAACTATGGAATTTACACTCAAATCTTTTGTGAAGCAATTGCTACTAAATTCTACCAGACATGATGAACTGGAAAATGTTATATTTGGAAGAAACTTTCGAGGTTATCAAGTTCATTCTGTACAACATAGGAATTGTCTATAGTATTCTATCAGCTCAAGGTAGGAGCACCTTTCACAATGCATTCTAACACTTGCAATAAGTGTTTTAACTTATGGGACTGAATAAAATGTGACCCTGGGGATCCAACTTCTTGTTTAAAGCTGTGACTCATAGACTATATGAAATTAAATGCCTCCTCTGGGTAAGTTCACTTTAAATGAAAATGATTGAAGGTCTGAGAAATCTATTAACTGAAGACAGCAATTGTCACACGGAAATTCATGCTGAAAAAAAAGAACAGCTTTTGTTTTGGCAATAGGAACATCCTGATGTATTTGTCCTATTTTCCAAATGACTTCAGTTTAAAATCAGGTATGACACATTATGATAGTTGGGAGGGGTCCTCCGAATTAGGTGGCTTTCTTTTCTTTAGTTTTTCATCTGGGCCTCTGCATAGAGTAGGCAAAGATTCCATTATATAGCCTAGTCTTGAACCAATTCTATATCCTCCTGCTTCTGTCTCTCAAGCGCTGAAATCACATTTGACAGTTGTAGGTCAAGACATCTAGCTACTAGTTAGTGAGGATTTTTTGAGATTATACTAGAATCATAACATTCTCCCTTCCCTTTCTTCCTTTCAAAACCTTGCATATACTCCTTCTTTCTCTCCTTCAAATTCATGACCTACTTTTTAATTTTTGCTGCATTCATATATGCATATACATGTATTCTTAAATATGACTTGTTCAGTCTGTATAAGTCAGTTTTAATTCTAAATTTGTGGGAAAGCAATAATAGGCATGTCATAAATAAATCATGAGGTCCTTTTGCAATATTTCTTCGTCTTTGGGATTCCCTCCATAAATTCATTCTTTGTCTCTTATAGGTCAGAAAACCTTTGACTCCACATTTGATATCCTTTGCCAGCCTGTCATTCTACCTGATGATTCTGAAGGATTATTCACAGTTTTGAAAATGGTTGTATTTCAATATCACTCTTCAATCCAAGGG